CTCCCCCACCTCCCCCTTTGCCTGGAGGCCCTGGCATGGCTCCACCTCCACCTCCACCTGGAATGGGCATCCATCCACCTCCCCCCTTTGGATTTGGGGTTCCTGCAGTCCCCGTTCTGCCATTTGGATTAACACCTAAAAAAGTTTATAAGCCAGAGGTGCAGCTCCGGAGGCCAAATTGGTCCAAGGTAAGTTTTTCTCCAACATTAGATCTTAAACTACTTTTCTTGACTTATTTTTGTGTGTGCGTAGGCTACCCACTTTAGGGCTTATATCTGTCCTTCAAGTTGTACTTGTGTTTATGTTTATATAACATCTCTATTTCAGTTATTACCACAGAATGATCTGTGGGCCCAATGGGAATATATTTTAATTAAACTTAACCTATCTTAATATATTTGGCCTTTACTCTGATAAAATGAGTACTATGGTAGTTGACAGTTGTCACTTCACTCGGGTGCAAATGACTGAAATTACGCTTGTACAGCCCATGATGCGTGTGTGGCCCCTGTGGTTGGTTGGGTCAATCTTTTGCTTCTAGAAACTAAGTTAAATGTAGCCAGATTGATGGGGAAAACATCAAGCAAGGAACATTGGAAAAAAGGCTTTAATGCTTGTGGAAATAGAAGATTTGGAATTAGGAGGAAGATCAGTGTAACTGATTTTGATTCTTGACTAGTTACCAGTAAACAAACCAGAAACATTATCTCCAGATCTCCCATGAAGGGCACTGCCAGCTACTGTCTGTGTCCTGAGTTAGTCATAGGCTGGTCAACATTGCTAATAATTGGAGACATTTTTCTAGCACAGGGAGTTCAGAGTTCAGCCCAATAGCTCTTATCACCTGTCTGTTTATATAGTTCATGGCTGAGGACCTTTCCCAGGACTGCTTCTGGACAAAGGTGAAGGAGGACCGCTTTGAGAACAACGAGCTTTTTGCCAAACTTACCCTTGCCTTCTCTGCCCAGACCAAGAGTGAGTGCTCTCTTTAGTTCCAGACAGGGAGAATTTTTTTCCTTCCCTGGAGAGGGTAGAATGGGGTTGGGAAGAAGAGACATTCAGTTTCCCATTCCAAGGAAATGAGAATATTTTTGTATTATGGGGTTCCTGGGGCTAGGAAAGAGAATTGCTGTTTTGTGCCAGTATCCTAACAGGGATACAAGGTACTAAAAGCTTAGGCCCATTTTGATAGTTAACTTGAATGGATTATGGTTCTGTCTTAAAATATTGTCTCCAGACCAGAGTATTTAATTAGTAAGGTTATCGAGTAGTTTGGACAAGTTGGGTGGCTGAGCTGCAACTGTCTACAATAACCAAGATCCATGTGTGATTCCTGTTCTGTTTCTTTCCAATATCTGATGCTTTTCCCTCCTGGCCCTTCTTGGTTCCTGCAGCTTCCAAAGGTAAGAATGCAAAAGAGCCTTTTATCTGGATCTGTTGAGTATTAGAGAAAAGGATTAAATAAATGTAAAGGATGGAAATTTGCTACCCCCCCCCACACACACACACACAGACCCACAGTGATAGTGCTAACAAGTTGGTTCAAGTAGAAGCTTCATATATGAGTTCCCTGTTTGGTCCACAGTGAAATCTTATGAAACAGTAGATTGTGTTTCTTCTCTGCTATAGCAAGTACAGACTGAACAGTTAGAGGTCTTTTCTGGGGTTATATTACCAAACCCCCAGTGCTGTGACTTCTAGTCCATGGTTTCTAATACATTCTTTTTTTTTTTTTTTTTTTTTACCTTCAGTATGCTTGCCTTTATTTTAGGACTTTTAGATTTTTATCAGGGAAGAGACTTGAGCTCTTAAATTTTGAGACAGAAGGAGGACCTAGATCTCTACTATATAACACCATGTTTACTTTGTTTCTAGTGATGTACAGAGACATCAGTAAAAGACCTTGGTCCTTAATCCTTTCAGAATTAGTTTTGAGTACCAGACTGAATATTGACTCAGTTCAGTATGCTGTGTTAGAGGGGTTTTCTGTGGTGCTGGAAGTTGAACCCAGGGTTTTATGCAAAGTACTTTCCACTGAGCTACATTTCCAGCCCCCAATTTAATTCCAACACCGAAACAAGTGTTAGTTTCCAAATTTCAGTCTTAATACTAATTATACAAGTGAGGAGATAAGTACTCATTATTGTGCTCTCAATATTCCACCTCACAAGTGACATGGAGATGTGGTTTAAATAGCATTCTAAACCACATAGTGAGTTCAAACTATGACTTTTGAGTTTTGTTCTAGACCTTTGCTTGCCAGAAGTCTGCTTTTCCTAGGGACCTTGGAAAGTTTAAATACCCAGAGACTGCAGCTGCTTTAGCATAACTTCATCCTTTGGTTGGCAGTGATGTCTTGTGAGTGTAAGCAGAAACATTAGATCAGGGAAAGCTGATTAGTTGCTGTGTGTGTATAGGGTTAGGGAAGAGCTATGTTCTGATGGTAATGTGTTCAACTCTAGCAAAACTAGTCCAGGTAGAGAAATAAGTCATGCTTGTCTACTATAGTAGAGAACCTGCTGAGGTGTTCCATCTGCCAGATGGCCAGTATTGATAGGGAAGTTTGTGGGCATTAAATTTTCTTTATATTACTTCCTTACACTCTAAACCTGACTTTCTTTATGCTGTTTGTTAAATGTGTCTGTATACCCTATATGTTGTACTGATACTTAAAAATTCTTTTATACCTATCAGCTCCTCTAAGAATAGGCAGTGAAGAAAAAAATCTACAACCCTGCTTCCTGTAGTCAAAGATGCCTCCAGCCACTGCTCTATTGAAGTTCAAAAATATCTGTTTCTGCTGAGCATTTTGGCATGACACCTATAATCCCAGTTTCTCAGGAGGATGAAGCAGGAGAATTGCAGTTCAAGTCTAATAGGCACTTAAAAAAGGGCAGGGGAGGCTAAGTGGTAGGGCACTTGCCCTGGGCTCCATCCTTGTACCTCAAAGAAAGTGAAGGGAGAGGAGAGAAAAGAGGAAGAGTGTATGCATCTCTTACTAAGAGACAGAAACTTATCCAGAGGCGGATGTGGCTGGTTCTCTTTCAGACTTACTTTCTTGTTGCTGAGCTCTTTTCTTTCTATAAATTGGGAATTTACATAGTTCATTCCTTGCAAGGCATGTATGAAATTCAGGTTTGGGAAGGTGTCACTCTTCCACATTCTCACCTTGTTTGTTGTGATCAGCCAAGAGTCATTTATCATGGACTCTGTTGATCCTGCCTTTTAACTCCTTGAGAACATAATCCAGTAGTTAAATTTTATTTTCATCTTTATTAAAAGAAGCAGTATTCTAGTTAGTTAGACCACATCCAGCTTTATTCTACAGCTTGTTGCTGTTGATACAGGAGTCAGGGTGTGGGCAACAGTAGGTAGCTGGCTCCTCTGCTGCTCCTGCATAACTGTATTTTGACTTTAGGCTTCAGGAGGAGGCTTTGGAGGGGGCAATAACCCCTACCCCAGCAAGAACAGAGGGTATTTGTCATTTCCCTGTGACTTTCTTCTGTGCCACCACTAGGTGGCACTCACCCAATGGTTTCTTTATTAGTATTCACAAATCTTTTGCTGTTGCTGTTTTTTTGAGACAGGGTTTTAGCACTGGCTGGCCTGGACCTCACAGGGAAGTTTTGCCTCTCTGTCCTGAGTGCTGGGATTACAGGTGTGCAACACTATGCCCAGCTAATGTTAGGAAAGTTCACAGCTTCTGCCACTTAAACTTCTAGAAACAAGATTGTAAGAGCTCAACCTACTTCCCCTCGTCAATGAGTTTCTTGGCAGAAAGATGTCTGTTCTATTTCCAAATGTGTATTAGAGCCAGAGGGACTGTTCACACACCTGCTGGGGTTGTTTGCCTGTCCTTATTAGCGTGTTAGATTTTGAGGAGGGCGAAACTATTAGCATAAAGCATTTGTGAAGTTCCTTGTGATCTAAAACCATAAATCTACCCATTATCTGAGTTTTAAGGGATCTAGCTTATATGGTAATGTGTATATTTTGTGTTGTTACCTCTCTCTCCAGTGGTGTAAAATGAGCTTGTAAGTATCCTTTTTCATGACTTGACATATTGAGGGTCTACAGAATGCAATATTATGCCATGTTTTTATTGCCACAGAAAGCACCAGCCTCCAATCTTTTCCATCTCCCATTTTTCAGTCTCTTAAGAGCCTGTGTGTTTTTTATTCTGTCTTCCAACTAAGTTTTCAAAAATATTTTATTGTACTCTCTAGAATTGATGGTCCGTTCCTAGCACAGCATTGTGTGTTACACTTGACTTCCCTCAACACTGCTTTGTCTTTTAGTCTCTCCTGTTTTCTTGTGTCATCCTCACCCCAGTAGACCTGGAGATGGGGTAGTGCTGACTTTCTTCTCTTTCATCACTTTCAGACCCTTCTGCTTTTCTCTACTAGAAACCAGCAATTTGGAATCTGAGACCAGTTTATGTCACCCACGTCCCTTTGTATTACCATCTATTGACCCTGAAAATTATTCTTGAGTTCTCCACAAACTGAGTTCCTGACTATTCTTCCATGCTACTTCTAATCTAACTTTCCACCGTATCATTCTTTGTTAAAAACTTATTTAGTGAGTGCATGGATGTGTGCACATGTGGAGGTCACAGGACTTTCAGGAGACAGGTCTCTTCTTCCATCATATAGGTTCCTTATCAAACTCAGGTCATCAGGCTTGGTGGAGAGTGCTCTACCCACTGCACCATCTCCCAGCCCTGATTTTCCCCAGTTCTTATATAAAGGGTCATGATTCTAATAAGATTCTTGCTGCACAAGTCTCTCAATTCCTCCCCTCTTTCTCACTTTTCCTCCCTGTACTCATTATAAATAATTGCGGCTCTTCCATTAGCGTGGTGTTTTAACATCTATGCCGGTCCTGTGTGCCTCCCCAACCCACATTTACAATACTGAAGATCAAAACTGGGGCCTCAGGCAGCTAGTTAAGTGTTTGCCACCACCAGCACATCTCCAGCCCATTCTCTTCTCTTCAGTATTGTGACCCCAGCAGTCCTCCAGACACACTGGAACTTCCAGCTTGTCTCACCTCCTCAGTGACTTCACTCCTCACCTAAAACTCCATGACTGAACCTTATAATAATCATTCCTCTGGTGTTTTTCTTCCATTGAGGTTCTCTCTCATTTCATCATGATTAGTTGGCAAAACCATGATTCTTATTCATTCTACATTGTCGACATTGTCTACATTGTCTCTGTAGCTGTGTATCTCTGACTTATTACACTACCCTTTCCTTCCTGGGTATGCTTTCTTCTCTTAGCATCCCAGATAGTAAGTATTCTTATTTTTATCTCATTGTCTGTTCTTGCCCATTTTCCGCAAATCTGTCTGTTACATTGCTTGGCCTTTGATACTTCTAGACAGTTGTATTTTAAGTATTTTTGGTTTGATTTAGTTGGTTTTTGATAAGAGTCTCATGTTTCCCTTGTTGACCTAGAACTCAGTAACGTAGTTCAGTCTAGCCTTACACTGCAGACCAGATTGACCTCAAACATAAAATCTTTTTTTCTTTTCCTCGTTGGCAAGCGCTACCACACTGACCTTTCAGCATTTCTGGGGTTTGTTTCTTTAATTTGAATTTTTTTTTATTACATTCATGTAGTATGGGTAGAGGTAGAGCACACAGGTACCATGGTACACCTTTGGAAATCAGAGGACATCCTGTAAGAGTTGATTCTCATCACCATGTGGATCAGGAAGGATCAAACTCAGTCTCTAGGCTTGGTGGCAAGCACAGTTAGCCACTGAGCCATCCCACCAGTTCCCTTAAAGCATTTCTAGTGTACTCAGTTTTGTCCTTTTCTAAATTGCTATCTTCACACTTTTCTCTCAAAGGCTCAGCACTCCATAGAGAAAATTGAAACAGTCAGAATGTGAACTTCCAAAGCTTATACCACTGAGTTCCTTATTCTCTGTCTTTTCTGTTACTGTGGTCCTATCTAAAAGCAGTTCCTGAATGATTCACCATCATTGCCATAATGTGTAAAATACTCTAAAAATATAAAACAAAACAATCTTCCTTCTTCCCTGTGGTGACCACAGTTGATGATGCCTTTTATATGCATATGTTATTCACATAATTAATTTAGATTTAGTTCATATGAAAAAAAAAACAGGGAACATCAAACAGAACTTTATTGGAAAATTAAGGAGCAATTATAGTCATAGCATATGTGTACTTTTTAGTACAGCAAATTGTTTCCACATGGTAAATACTATTCTGCATTTTTTGTTTTGTTTTTGTATAATATCCTTTACCACCTCTTGATGTTATTATATAAATTTACCTTATTTCTTTTTTTTTAAAGTTTCATGTTTATTGGATTATTTCAAATGGACAGTTGTATTCTGTCATGAATAATACAAGCTTTATACATAA